TAAAGATTTTCTTTGAATCGTAAGGAAAAATTATGGCAGGTGCTGAGAAATTTAAAACGTTCTTTTAGATAGGAAGGACTTGATATATTAAATAAGACGCAGTAGAGAGCAGAAAGAATATGAGTATTCCGACGAAGACGGATTGGTAGCCACTTGAGCTTAGTGCGGTATTCTGAGACATGGTCATATTTCCGAAGCCCAAATATGAACCGTATACAGAGATTTTGGAGTCGCTCAAGCTTGTTAAGTTGCTCCTCGGTGATATCAAGGTAACAAATGACAGCATAGTCGAGGATAGGGAGTAGTAAAGATTGTGCAAGCGTAATTTTGGTGGCAATGGGTAAAAATAATTAAGCCTCCGGAGTGAAGCATAAGCTGCGAATATTTTACGGCTCACTGCATTAATTTGGGAAGCCCAAGAAAGACTGGAATCCAAAAGAATACCTAAATTTTTGACAACGTCATTATAAGGGATAGGAACTCCATTATATACAACGGGTTGTAGTTGACATTTTTTTATTTTGCAAATCATTCTTGAACTCCCAATGATTATGGCTTGGGATTTTAAAGGGTTCACCGTTAACCCATAAGAACGACTCCAGTCGAGAATACATGTTAGATCCTTATTGATACATTCCACTGCTTTGGAAAGATCTTCAATGGTTGTTTGTAAGTATATTTGCAGATCATCTGCATACAAGTGGTAGAGAGAAGATATTTGGGGTGTAATCGTATTAATAAAGATTGCGAATAAAGAGGAGATAAGACGCCACCTTGTTGAACGCCAGCTACTGTATCAAGCCACGAAGAAAGTCTATTTTGGACACGAATACGTTGCCGGCGCCCATACAAATAACTATGAACCCAGGAAATTGCAGTTGGAGATATGTTAAGAGAACTCAGAATCCCTAACAGGATGTCATGATCAGTATTAAAGGCATTGCTGAAATTCAGCAACACCAATAATGTGACTTGATGATTTTCCATACCGTGGCGAATGTCATCCGTGATTTTCAATAACGCCGTAGTCGTACTATGACCAGATCTAAAGCCAGATTGGAGAGGGTTTAGGATGCTATTTCTTAAACAAAAGGAATTAATTTTGTTTAATAAATTATCAAAAATTAATGTTTATTTGTAGTCTATATGTATTAATTATTATCTGTGTAATTTACTTGCAACACTTTAATTTAAGTTTACCAATTTTCGTATTGGCAACTCCTCTTCTGATCCCCGCATTCAATGTGTGTAGTAGGCTCTCCAGAAAATAATTATTAAATTAAATTTCAAAATCAAATTTAAACTTGCATTTTATTTATACAAATTTGTTGTTGCACAAGGCGTTCTGAGACTTTGGAAAGGAAAGGAAGAATTGGAGTAGGACGATATTCAGAAAAACTTGAAGAATTTGCTTTTTTGGGTATAGGTATGATTTGGGCATCCTTCCATTGGTTAGGGAAAGAAGATGAGGATATGGAAAAGTTTAAGATAAAGGTTATATAAGGTGTTAAAAAATCTAACAAGGGAATGATCATTTTACGACTGACGTGATCACTTCCTACAGCATCAGAATGGCTAGAGAGAATGTGTTTCCTGATATCACAATCTGCAAATTGCCTAAACACAAATGGGGAAAAGTCAGTAGTGGGAAACGATGAAAGTTGAGTAAGTGTTGTTGTTGATTTTGCTATATCATCCAAGCAAGAAACAGAAGGAAAATGCTGATTAAGCAAATTTAAATCGACGTTATTTGGTATAGGGCATGAACGTGATTTCTCAACTCCTTTAGACCTTAAAAAGTTCCAAACACGACATGGATCTTCGTTTTGCACTGATTTATGGATATGACGGCGTCGTAAATCTCTACACAACTTGTTGCATTGATTCCGCAGGAGTGTGTACTTCTCCCGAATCCTGTCATTCTTTGGATCTGACCTGTAAGTCGACTTTGCGTTATTCTTCCTACCTATTAATATTTTAAGATCATCAGTCACAGGAGCATGTGTATCATAGAGTTTAACAAGAAATTAATTAAACAATGCTACCTGTTCGCCCACAGAGCAAGCCTTTGTTATAACGCTCCAGTCCATATTAGCAGCGTGTTTTTGTGGCTTTTCCAAATCCATTTCCTCAAAATTACGCTGCAGAAGTATCCTTGATTTGGCTTTCGGTGGTCTTATTTTATAAGATAGAAACAAGAGGTTATGATAGGAAAAGGCGTTGGCAGCACATTGACCAAATTTATCAACATGGTCGAGAGAAGAAACGATACCCGAATCAAGGAGAGATGGGACACAGTTAGGAAAAAAATGAGTTTCAGAAAGAGGAAGAATATTTAAATTGACTGCTTATATAAGAGATTTAAGCCGAAGAGATCGGGCATCATTCTTGAAAAGGCAAGTATTTAAATCGCCCATTAGCACTGTACGTACTTAACAGTGGTAGAGCCACGCGGCAGCTTTTGCTGTCGCACGGATGGGCCGGCCCGAACTGGGATGGTACCACGACCTCACAGAAAACCAGCGTAAAGTAGAGGTTTACCTCTGCGTTTCGCTTGGTTAGTGCAGGTGGCCGGAGGCTTTTTTTACTGGAACTGAGGCATTCCATCTTAGTCCTCACGGGTGACAACGCATCTACATTTAAATTTGTAATAGAGGATAGATGTAGATGTCTATGGGCCGCAGCAACCACTTAACATCAGGTGGACTGTGTGCTCGTATGTCACCCTTATGCTATAAAAAAATGTGTATATAATGGAGTTAGCTCTTCAAGAAGGTTATCCAATGTAGTAAAATATTCAACTGTGGAAGAAGGACTATAAAAAACTCCGAGAAGTAATTTGTTGTGCGAAAGAAGCACTTAAATAAATAAGTATTCCGCTTCGTTCTCAGCTGCAAATTTAGATGATAAACGAACAATAGAGAAAGGTATATGCGCACGAAGGTCAATGGCAACACCACCACCACTTGCGTTGCGTTGCGTTGCGTATTAACTAGAATCCTGGAATAGAATAGGATATGGATGGAAGACATGGTTTTAACCATGACTCCGTAACAAGAACGTTGTCACTTACAAAGCTAGCTAACATATCAGGATAAGTGGAGAGGATGAGCCGGGATACTCTGTGCATTTATGTGAATAAAGTTTCTTGGAGCTTGAGAAAAATGGGAGTCAAGAGTATCTTTTGGTGGAGGAATGCTCTCAAAACTGACGTCATTACTTAGTACATCAGATGCTGAAATGAAAGAAGAGGAGCTTAGATTATGATTACTTTCACCAAAAACATGTTATATTTACAAAAAGAAAAAATAATAACTACATACTATAAAAAATACTAATAACTACAAACAAATAAAAGTTATAAACTACAAAGATTTACTTTTAATTACATCTATTCCCTACCAGTATTAACAGAATAGAAAATAATGTAAATATTTAAAATAAAAATAAAAAAAATCAAAATTAAATACTACACCTAAGTGATTCAGATCATATTTGATTGAATAAAGAAAAAAATTATACATATAATACATGGTACTCAACGATAAGGAATAACTGAAATTACCGATACAGACATCAAATAGAATTATGTTCTGTGGTTAAAATATTAGAGCACACACTGCACAAGTGCATATATATATATATACATAAACACATACATAGACTGATTGTTTATTTAATTTGTTAAAAAAAAAAACTAAGAATCTTCCCTACATCGTAGAGAATCCGAATACATTTATAAATTGCATCTAAACAACAGCCTTCATCCAGAACAATTATTTGTAGGGCTACTAGGTTTTTTGAAGCAAAAATTTTAATGTTTATTAAAATTTATAGATATTTTCTTCTAATTTGATCTATAAATTTATTATTATTTTTGGCGTATTTATAAAATATTCTCATCTGGTTAGGCCGAATAAATACATAAAAGGAAATGATAAATATACGTAAATATATATTAAATGTACTAACATAAATAGATAAAAGCCCAACCAGATGGAGGCCCTCGGCAGGGGGGACCAAACGGCCGAGGGTTAGGAGGAAAGCGAAAGACACCGGCGGATAATGCGAGCAGTATCGAGGAGCACCGAATTCTTTCTATATTTGAGCCTGGAGCGGTCCGTCACGGAGTCCCAGTCGCCTTAGATAACCTGAGAGGCTGACCGGGATTTGTCCATTCGCAGAGAGGACTAAAGTAATAATTTTGGTTTGCAGATCACCCCATATTCGGTCACCCCGTGAGCCAGGTCCAGATATTTTGTTTTCTTGTCTGTTTCAGCTTTCACGAGGGTCTTGTCTTATGGAATGGTAATGTCGACCAAAAATATCCTTGACTGTGCCCGGTCCATCAGGATTATTCGCAAGAATAATCCTGTCTGTGATGATGGCCCGGTCCCAGTAGAGCCTGGCGCGGTCATTTTCGAGCATGGTTTCCGGCACGTACTTATAATAAGGCAGTTTCCGATCCACGAGACCGAATTTCAGAGCGAACTTCTTGTGTAGAATCATGGCTACTAGTTGTGTTTGTGCTAGTACTCAGAGTTAGAAACAGCTGAGCAACCGGAGATGACATGACTAAGTGATTCTCCGGTATGGCGACAAGCTCGACAGATATCAATGGCGCCATCCTTTAGGGTCTATCTCCGATATTTGTTGGTCTTAATATCCTGTATCGGACAGACAAAAACCTCGGTTTCCCCGAAGAGGACTCCGAAACGTAGCCAGTGGAGGAAGGAGACTGTGTCTACGAAAGGCTCATCTAGAGCTTTGTAGAACCTACCATGGAGCTCCTTCTCCTTCTATACGGCCTCACGGTCGAAAATGATCTGTACTGCCGGATCTTGCTATTGCTCGTTGGTTAAGCTCATACACAGGCAAGTAATGACGAGTGTATAATTTTTCTGTGAAATTTGTAATGCCTCCCCTTCTTTAATATCTTCCAATGTTCGTAAATAGTAACTGAGATCAAAAAAGGGTGGGAGAACATTTATTATACTCACATTAGCGATGGTGTAGGAGAGATGCAGGTGAGAAGGTGAAGTACGAAGTACTGGCACGCCAGCGTGCGATGCCGCCGTTACTACAGAGGAGGCAGAAGCGCCACCCCCGCAAACCAGCAGCGCAGCCACACGTCTCCCGGCTAGCGCTGAGCACGCTCGTTCCAGTACTCGTGCACTGAACCTTAACAACGATATTCTTTAGTTAATTAAATATAAAGAAATTTATAAAAATAAGAAGAGAGATTTAAATTTTGAATAAAATAATTCCTCTAAAAAACAATGATTCAAAACCTTGCGCAGCTAAAAAACTGGTACCGTCCATAATGTAAAGAAACTTAACTTGGATTGTGTAACAAAATTTAAATTTAATTAAAGAGGGCCGGTTGGGCCGTGCCCACTCCAGAATTATCTGGTAAATTGATTTAATTATTTAATAATGTTGTACATAATCAAAATAAATACATTTTGCGAAAAATGTTTTGGTTTAATTTTATTTAAATAAACTGGCCTGATAATTCGAAATAATATGGCTGACTCAACACTTTAAAATTACTTTTTTTTTTGCGCAGAAGCCCTCTGGAAAATAATTTGCGGTGAAAGGTAATATCGTGAGGAAATTAGCATGTCTGAGGAATAAGATATTTTGAAGACATTTGAAATTCACCAACACGTATTGAGTAGCACGGTGGACCAATTGCTCCATAACCCTATCAAAAATTGGAGGCGTAAGCCCAGCAGCAGGACGAAAAAAAGCGATAATTTTACTTTTTGCCTTTATAGTAAGCGTACGGTTAATTTGTAATTCCACACACGAGTCGTTGGTTTTATATATATTTACAGTAAAGTTGTCGAGTGCAAGTGAAAGACCTGAGTAATAAAAAGTATTAAAAAAAAAGTTAAAACTAGGTAGAAAACTTAAGTTAGGTATAACTTTCCTTTGATGGTAATGCACCGATCGTTCGTTAGTGCATTACATTAAAAGTAAGTTTATGCGTGCAGTCTAAGTAAATATAAAGTCGTTAGACCGAACATCAATCTTAATCAAAACAAAAAGGTCAAAATAGTCTGTCAATCACCCTGATTTGTGTTTATTTATATATTTTATTATTAAAAAAATATTTAATGAAGGAAAAGAATGAGGGGGCATTTTTTAAGCCTTATCTTAGACTAATTTAGGTTATGTCGGACACTCCCACTTTCTGTTCCTACTTCAGATTTTTTTTTCTAATATCAGTATCTCTAATATAAACCGATTTTTCTGATTATAAATTCATTGTTTAAGATTGAACAAGTTAACCTTCATTAGTTTATCACATTGTTGCCGCCCATCACTAGTCCACAGCCGAACATAGGCCTCCTCCAAGTAATATCAAAAAGCATGGTAGTGAGTTACCAGCATCTCTTACCAGGTCTTCTTTCCGGTTAATGGCGGGCCGCCTTACACTTCGCTTACCGGTACGAGGATGCTACTTGAGAACCTATTCGCCTGTTTTCAACCCTTTCGCTATCCCGTGCATTACATTTAATATAATTAATTGCTGTTGTCTTACTACTGTGTCTGAAAATCGGACAGTCAAAGTGTTGACGATTTTGTTTTTGTGACCTTCCATGTTTAAGCGCTGTACCCCTGTACAACACTATTTGCTATCCATTATTTCACAGAATAACCAGTCGCACCGATTAATTCACTCCGTATTTTACGATGTACGCATTTATCATCTCCACAATCATATACTTTATCCATAAAGTATTTTCTTCATGCTGTCTTGAGCGCATAAATTATTATGAATGAAATTCTTTTCCGTAGATAATCTTTCCAGACCAACATGACCTACATGTTTTAGAGTAATAAGACGTTTTGGAAAAAGTCGTATATTGAGCAAACGTACTCATAATAATAGATCAGCGTCTTCTGAATCTAGGTTGATAGTTTGTTATTAACACAAAATCAAGCTTCCTGTCTCTAAATTGACTTGATGTGTTGCAATTTTTCGCATTTTATAAAGAATGCGAAAAATTGCAACACATTCACAAACATTGCTTTTGCTTAAAAATTGCATAGTTTGCTGGTTCCTCTGTTAGTGTTCATGTAACTTCTGAACGACTCAGTCAAATTGAGGTCATATCTACACAATATGTATGTTTGGTTGGTGCGATAGTCCATAGCTATGCTAAAATCGAATGAATGCTCTAACAAATACCATATTTATGAGCCGAAATGATTAATGTTTATTTGGTATGTTGGATTAAAGTCAAAAAATCACAACATCACCGTCCCACCTACCAAAAAAGGCAAAACAACATCCGCAGTGCTAATTTGTTTAAAAAAGAAACGCTTTAAATAATTTTTTTTATCATATCTCTCTAGTATATATTAATTAAATAAAAATAATTTTATTGTTTATATTTACAATGTATCGTAAGTATATTTTTTACACAATAGGAGTGAGAAACAGCACACACTTCACATGATGGTAAATAGATGCTGTGGCCCATAGACATCTACGTTTTTTACATCTACGTTACATCAAAACGCAAATGGGTCGTCACCCCTGAGGACTAAGATAGAATGCCTCAGTTTTAGTGGAATTGGTCTCCGATTCTCTACACTCACCATACGAAACATAGCAGCGTAAAGCTGTTATTTTACGCTAGTATTCTGTGAGAATGTGATCCTTCTCCGGTCGAACCAACCCGTTTGTGCTAAAACCACAATACAGCTGTAGCTTGGCTCTACCACGTTTATATAAATCTAATTTTATTTTGTTGTTTGCAATAAATTCTAGAGTCTTGTGAAGTAAAACGCTAGTTGCTCATTAATACTCGTATCTTAATGTTAAACAAGCAAAATAGAAACAAATGAAAAAGTAAGTTTCTAATAAGGGTCTTTCTAATATATCAAAGATTTAAAGACATCAGGCATCAGACTTAATAACTATTTCGAAATAATTTAAATTTAAAAGATGCCCGTGAATACTTAAAGGGTCTACCAATGTACAAAGTTTGAAGTCAAATACCACTAAAGCTGTGATATATATAATAAACGACATCCGTTGAATTTTAAGCAAAAGTTTAAACGCACCCCAAAGTTATGTTTTCTCTTTAACAAACTGTGACTTGTGTGAAGTGAGTGAAGTCAAACAAACGGCGGTTTCCATATTGTAATAAGAAACTTCAAATTTATGCAGGCACGAACGTTTGATGCAAATACAAACATTACAGTTGTATTAAATCGTAAATCTGCGTTTCTCAACCTAATAACGTGCTGTAATGTTGCAGAAATGATTTATGCCTAAAACAAAGCAGACACTTTAGATGGTTAAAGGAAAACTTTATTCTATATTCTTTCACAAAACTTTTACTTTAGAAGTTTTTATTTACAAAACTTATCTGATGCAAATCTTTGGAGCGTAATTCAGTATCGTTACATTTTAATAACAACCGCAATAATATACCATTTCCAGGATCGTTTACAAGATTCATATTTCGTCGTATTGATTTATACGCTACAGGACGATTCTTTTATTAAACTTTACATGTGGCAAATAAATTAGCAGCAAATTCAACTACTACATTGGATGTTCTGTTTGGATCCTGTCCGAAGAAAATATTTGTAAATAACATTAAGCGATTTAATTTTTAGAGTTGATGTTTTGCAACTGACGTAATGCTTTCTTCTAAACAAAGATGATGTTGAACGAGTTCTTTTTGTTTTCGTGTAAATTGACAGCACACTACTTAACATATAATATAATGGTAGTAAGAAGAATTGGCTACCACAATTACAACAATCACTATCACAATCGTCATTAATATCATCAATCTCTCTATTTTTTTACTCTGCAACACTTTATGCTTGCCAAAGGTATGGGTTAGATTGATCGGGACAGGACTACGCTCACACAGAATACCAACGTCGAATAGGATCATAATGCTGCTTTCTTTCGTAGTGTGTTGAACTGGACATCTCCTTTTTACGTATCCCATCGTAGTCGTCAGAGGTGACAACGCATTTTAATTTTTGTTCTTAATCGAGGAATGATGCAGGTGTCTATGGGTCAAAACATCTACTTACAATCAAGTGGACTATGTGCATCATCCTTACTTCTATAAAATAATATTTAAAAATGTTTTTATAATTACTTTTATTGTTATTTTAAATATGATCACCCTGTTCATAGTTGTAAGACATAATATATTATGTACTTACTATTATAATGCATCGTTTGTTTAACGACGATTGAAACCACATTAATTGTACAATTCAGTATCAAGTCGTCCGTGCACTGTCACAGAAGTCATTTCAAATTTAAAGCCTTAGACACAATAGAATTCTAAGAGGACCTGAATAAAACAATGTCGTCGCGAGTATATCCGAAAGTGTGGAGCGAATTTGAGAGACAGGTTGAAGATGGTCGTATATTGAAATTTGCGATCGAAGATATTCCAGAGGATATGTGGAAAACGGCAGTAGAATTTATGTTAGGAAGCTATATCAAAGAAGACGTTTGGTGGATGACAGCAGGTAAGAACTCGATTTGCCACTGAACGAATATTTATTTATTTTATTTGTTCCCATGTAATCGTATTTTAATAAGAGTTAATAGACAAAATATTTAATTTCATAAACGTCACACAGTTACCTCGTAGTAACTGTGATATTTTTTTAAAAAACTACAAAGGAACAAAATTCTGTTTTTTTTTTTTTCTTATTAATATTAATATCTTCTTTTAACACAGGTGGACGTTTTCTCACGAATTAAATTATCTTAGTCCTAAAACGTATCATGTAGGAAAAGTATTGCAATTATATACGAACAAGAAAATTGTTTATAATAATCTCTTCATATATTTTTGTATAAAATTTATTTGGAGACCTGCATTATTCATTTAAAAAATAGATTTGATAAAAATTAAAATGTATAGATAGGATATTTTCACTTTTATATGTATTTCTGTATTTTACATAATAAATACCAATATTTTACTCAAAAAAATACACGCCAATAAGCGTAATACTTTTATAAGTAAGTAAGTAAAAAAAAATTGTAAATAAACTGCTTGTTTACAATAATATTTTGACCAATGAGCTATTGCGGCTTTTTTATATTTTATTGTAAATTTTATATTTTATTATAAATACTTAGATAATTTATTATTGTTGGAAAGTTATTAAATAATATATTAAATATCATTTGCACAGGGGGCCCGGACCAGTATTAGGACCTTTATACAGTAATTTGTGCACGCGTAATATTATTTTAAACGTGGTAGAGCCATGCTGCAGCTATTGATAGTATAGTTGTAGCACGAATGGGTCACCTAGACCGGGGAAGGATCACGCTCTCACAGAATACCAGCGTAAAATAGCAGCTTAACGCTGCTACGTGTTTCGTATGGTGAGTGTAGAGAACCGGAGACCCTTTTTACTGGAAAAGAGGCATTCCATCTTAGTCCTCATGGGTAACAACGCATCTGCAAACGAGGATAGATGTTTGTAGATGTCTATGTGCCACAGCAAACACTTACCAACAGGTGAACTGTGTGCTCGTTTATAAAATTTTTTTTAGAATAAGACCACAAAAGTTTTGAGAAATTTAGTATTTACAAGCTATTCGATAGCTTAAACTGCTTTAGCAGAAAATAGTCTTTCTAGGTGGTAGCACTGTTGCCTTGTAAATCGTCTGGGTAGGTGTTACTTTTTACCTTGTTCTGCTGTGAAATAGTGGTGATTGTACTGCTGTGTTCCGGTATCAAGGGTAGTATAATGACAGGTCCAGTATAGTTACAGGCTTTGAGGTTCAATATTAGTCCTCAGAGGTGACGACGCATTTGTAACCATCTTTCGTTGAAGTTCGCTCCAGGTGACCATGGACTGCTGTAGTCACTTACCATCAGGTGGACTGTAAATTCGTTTGTCACTTCAGTATTATAAAAATAGCCTAATACCACAGAATAAATAACTACGTAGTACGTACTAATACCGCTTTTTGAATACCATTAAAAATTGAGTCCTTCAAATATGTGTTAAACTGATCCATATTTTAGTAGCAATCTTCCATACATAATAAAAAATAAAAATAAACGCATTTTACAGGTACAGCCGACGACCCAGAGGCAATACAAGAATATCGCGTGCTACTGACGGCAATCGTTGAGCAGAAAATGAGTTTAGCTTGCTTTCTCACTGAAGGCGACGGCACGGGCCATACACTCGTCGGAGTAAACATGTGCATGCCCCAGGAAAAAGATCGCTTTGTTGAACACAATCCGGTACTCAGGACATACAATGTCACAAACTGTCGCACTTTTACTATTTAACTTTAGAAGTTGAATAATGTATTTCATTTTACTGCATATTATCTAAAAAAAATCAAAATAATGCTTTTATTATTCAATACGCACTAAAAAGGTTGTTTCTAACAAATAAAAATGTAAGCATTGACATAGATGTTGACATATTTTACTAGCATTTCGACGTTACAATACATTAGCAATGAGGGCTCATAAACTTTCGATCATCAAATATCGGTAGTAGGGACCGAGGTGGAGTTTTTGTTACACAATGTCATATAATTGAGAAGTTGCGTTTTAAATAAAATTTTATCGGTTTCTAGAGTATTAGATAAATACACAAAACAATGATTCAGTGGTTTGTTCCTTAATGATTTTCAAATTTTTTTATTTTTCTTTTTTAATGAATAACTGTAGTTTGACGTAATGATTTCTTATATTTACGCGAAGACTGCACATTAAATGAAACTAATTTTTACAGATTTTATCGCGTTTAGTTTAACTTTTTTATTCCTTATATACAAACAAGAAAATCGTTTATAATAATGTCCTCATATATTTTTGTATAATATTTATTTTGAGATCTGCATAAAAGTTAAATTAAACGCGACAAAATCCGTAAAAATTAGTTTCATTTAACTGTAGTTTGACTTATTCATTTCCAATTTAATTAATGTAAAACATTATAACTAATATTACGAAAAGACAAGGTAAAACTTTAAATTTTCCAAACAAATTACATTCCCCACCATGTAATTTGTCAAATATTTCACCTCGTTTCTAAATGGCACCGCCATGGTGGCTAAAAAAGACGTGGAATCATTAACGAATTCACAAAAATGCTCTACAAAAATCACATAAATAAATTATGCATAAAACAAATACTATTATAAATACCTACTAATAATTTACGAAATTCTTCTGCTTTTTAAAGGGATATAAACTATTTATTTGTATACCAATATTTTTCGTAATCCATATATTTTCGGGATGTACTCGATAAGATCTTTCATTTTGTTGCTACAATGCTGTTTCTAAATGTTTCCATATTAATTGTATAAAATATGTTGTAAATTTATTTTATTTAATAAAATACCGCTGGGTTCTTGCTGGATCTTCCCAGGACAAAGGTTTTACTAAGCCAGTGATAAAATGAAAAAAAAAATAACTATTAATCAGAATTATATAGGTATATGTGATCTATATTGAATAAAAATGATTTTATTCTATTCTATTCTATTTGATCCTAAATATAATATTTTCATCTTTTTTTTTGTAACCCTTCATGTCCTCAATAAGCCACTATACTTCGCACACAGCCTATAATTTGTGGAAGAGAACGACGTTACCTTACTTACCTTATATGACTACCAGTTAAACGACGAGTAGTTTAGAAAAGTTGAGGGAAATAATATAAACATACATACATACTATAGTCTGCTAATATCATAACGTTCCTTATCGCTTGGCCGTAGTGGGGTAAAAATTATACAAAAATAAAACAATCAATGTTACAATTTAAAAATAACATTGGAATTGTGACCAATTAACTATTCCGTCTAGGATAAAAAATCTTCACCGCGATTTGTAACTCAATGTAACGCTTACGAACTCCTCTATATTCTTATATGCTAATTTATAATTTTGTTACAATATTATAAACATTTGTTATAAATTATAATGATACGATTAACTAGTTAAGTAAATATTTTCCTTACAGCCAAAATCCAAAGCTGGCATTATGTCGCTTCGCATGTTCTCAGAAGCGACCAAGTTTACTGTGATATATGACAAATACGACGTAAATACGTATCTTATGGGGGCTGGACTTTCTGTGGCACCAGAATACAGAAGCCTGGGTATCGCCGTAGAGTTACTGAAAGCCAGGTATCATAGTGCATATTTAAATTAACAGATCTAAAGATACATTGAGATCTATTTTAACTAACTGATCCACTGTATTTTTAATCTTATATATAAAAATAAATTTTGTTTGTTCGTATTTTATGCGCAACCATACCGTTCGTCAGATTGCGCTAAAACTTTGTCAACTTATTGCTTGCACTTGCGCGATGGTTATAAGCATAGTGGAATTAACTTACAAAAGGTGACATAATTTTTTTTAATATAGTATAGGGTGACAAACGAGCACACAGCCCACCTGATGGTAAGTGGTTGCTGTAGACCATAGACACCTACATTTATCCTCGTTTGCGAATCAAAATGCAGATGCGTTGCCACCCGTGAGGACTAAGATGGAATGCCTCGTTTCCAGTAAAAAGGGTCTCCGGTTCTCTACACTCACCATACGAAGCACAGCAGTGTTAAGCTGCTACTTGACGCTGGTATTCTGTGGGAGCGTGGTCCTTCCCCGGTCGAGCCAACCCATTCGTGCTACAACTATACTACTAATATAGCTGCAGCATGGCTCTACCACGTAACAGATAATATAACAATTAATATATCATCATCATTATCATTCCTAACTAAACAATATAACTCTTCCTAATTTAAAACGATATTTCCACAATTGTTCCTTCTGCGATATCAACGCGCCGGGAACCAGATAGTCTATAATTAAATAGTTCAAAACATAATGAAAATATGAATTTGTTATATATATATATATATATATATATATATTAAAACAGTACACGAAATAATTGATATATATGTATATGTTCACACACACACACACACACATATATATATATATATGTGTGTGTGTACAAAAAGCGGTAGTCCAGCTATCCCTATTTGTCCATCCTCACTTCTCATTCCTCCTAGTAGTAAATGTACTGTTGAAAATCTTTAAGAGATTTTTATCCTTATATTAAAGGAGGGATAGGTGGAAAGTGTAGGTTTGTCAAATTTTATGCTACTTATATTTCACTTTTAAAAAACCAAATCAGTAAATTTTAATAATATATTATGGTGTCATATATTGTATTTTCTCTAAATTTTGCAGGAAAGCGTTGGCAAAGGAACTGGGATTTCGCGTGACTGGAGGTATATTCACAAGTGTTTCAGCTCAAAAATCAGCTGAAAAAGCAAGCATGGAATGTCTATTTAAGATATCTTATAAGCAATTTGGAGAGCAATGCAACATTGAATTTAATTCGGATACCGAGGATTTGAAGATATATGGTACTAGTGTTGAATAAACCTTAATAATTATAAAGGGTCTCGATTTAATATTAAACAATTAACGATAGCGCTGTTCCCTATAGCTAATATGTAAGTAATAACATGCAAAAGAAAGAAATAACTATCACGCTTATTAGGATTAACAAATATCATCTATATTTAAAATAAATGGTACAAAAGAAATAAAATAGTACACCAACGTAGTATAGATTATTTATTACGACATATTTACTGAAACTTTCAATGTTTAAATGCGGCCTTAATTTAATTTTCGTTGATAAATCTGCTTTGGAATACAATGTTTTTTTTTTTGTAATACTTAAAATAATATATGCATATTTTAATAAAGTAAACAGGCAATAAATTTTGTTTATTATTACGTTTTTGTTTCGTAATTAATTGGAATGTGAGAACAATTACCTTTTATTTCCCTGAAAGGATTTCAATGTATCGATTTTTGCAAGAATAGATAAATAATCCTCAACCAGCCTTAATAACACGTATGATTTTTGGCATATTATAGAAAATATTTTACATAATTTGAACATACAAACCCTTTTTTTAAATGTATTCGAAACTCGACATGAAAGACATTCTTCAAATTACATAAAAACGCGTTGATAATATCATAATTTCTTATTTTATAAGTTGTTCAATTAATTTGGAATTTAGTTCATAGGAAAAAAAATATTCTATGTTCCTTAACATAACTTTGTATTGATGGAGTAAAAGAATATAATCTTTGCTTCTCGTGGATGTAATAAAAGACGACAACGGTAATAGCATGAACGTGCAGTCGACAGATAGGTATACAATATTATAACAATAATCATTATCATTATTATAGTCTTCACAAGTCCACAGCTAGACACACGCCTTCCCCAAGGAATGCCACAAAGCACGGTCCTAAGCCACTTGCATCCATCGACTTACTGCATATTTTACCAGATCGTTACTCCATCTAGGGGGGTTGCCCTACACTTCACTAACCGGTTCAAGGTTCCCACTCCAGAACCTTTCTTCCCCATGGGTTCTTGGGTCTTCGTGATATATGGCCAGCCCATTGCCTATTAGAAATCGATCTGTAGTTATTCAAGAGAGCGTTGTCGCCTTTCTTGATGAACAAGACCACCGCGCTTCTCTTCCACGCCTTTGGAATAGTACCACCTTGGAGGACGGAATTTAAGAGCTTCTGAAAGACTTTAAGTACTAGTTTTCCACCCGCTTTCAGAAGCTCCAATCATCGAAGCCGAAGTCACTTCAGCTTACTAATCCGTTGTACTATGTCGTTTACTCTGGTTCTACTGCGGATGTCCCCATTCCTAAGTCTATCACGCAAAGAAACGCAATAAAATCCCAAACATAGCGCCTTCATAGCTCGCTGAGCGACCTTGAGCTTCTTCATATGGCTAACACCGGTTGTACTTGTATAATCTTTTTTTAAGTTTAAAGGTATACCTTTTGAGAGATGTGTCTTAATCTCTCGATTTGACCTCTCGTTCGAAGTTACCTATTTGGACTATTTTATCTTGTTATATATAATAACAATACGGAAAAATAATAATCATATCAAATATGTAGAAACTAAAGTTGGGTAAGCAAAGAATGCAGTACAAGTTTCTAGAAATCTGGTAATGTAAGAGCAAGTCGACTTTCTAAACGTGACAATTGTGATATTTTCCTACCGTGGAGAAGTTCCATATTTAGTATCGTGCACTACGGATTACATTACTATTTTGCAATAAGTATCATTTATGGAATCACCTCGGCCCTGCAAAAAGTGGACCTGACCCAGCATCGATGGCTTGACAAAAAATGTGATTATCTTCATTACGATTACCAGACGGTAACTGTTATCTGTCACTGACATCTCAGTTATTGCAAGCATAAATCCTGTTAGCAATCGCTGAATGGTGGAACTTAATGTTAAGTTGGTGAGATCACGTCAGTCTCATCCATCACCATTCAGGTTATGTTACGGACACCATTCTTAGCGTGATTAAAATGACTATTCAGCGCCTTAAAAACAATAGGGTCCCAGTTGATAATAGAGCCACAGTAGAGATTCAGAATTCGAGTCGAAAACCGGTACTAAAAGTCCTTCAAAAGATTTTTAATGCCGTCCTCTGTGGCTGTGCAACTCTGGAATTGTGGGCCAAACTGTAGTAATTTTGTTCTACACACGGATTTCCCTTTCAGGCTGCACGTAGTGAAGTTATTGAGAGTCACTATAATTCATTTAGCACATTGTATTGAGAACTGTCAGCCTCTCGAATAAGCAGGATTCTGAAAAAGCTTAAGCTTTACAATTGACTATATAAAAAACCTCCGGCAAATCCTTTTAATCCGTCGAATTCTGGATGGTGCTACCGAACATTCAGCGTTAGTTTGATAGTCGGTATACAAAGTTTTTTTTTCTGTCGAATTCTGAACGGTGCTAGACGGTGTAGTATACTGAAATATTGAAGCGTTTCTACAGTAAGGCTATAATGGCTATCCGAGAACAGAATCAGAATAATACAAGTGGTAAAATTAAACATTTTGTACAACCGACTTTAATATTAATAAAATAAGATCATCATCAATGTAGTCGAAGTCAATTAGATCTTGATCAAATTAATATGGAACCACATGAGAAACATCAGCTTTCAAATAAAAGAATTTTCCATATTGGTAAAGCGGCTTTGAGTAATCGGTGAAAGAACACACATAAAAGATAGATTCAGACAAATTGAGAACCTCCTCCTTTTTTGAAGTTCGTTGATAAGAAACCTATTGAATTACAGAAAGGAATAAGACTTGGTGACATTATATCAAAAGTTAAAATGTTTTTATTTAAAATTGACCTCTTCAGGGTACTTTTTGAAAGTTAGGAAATCTCTGCCAACACTTTAACAAGTCGCTATTGCGGGAGATCTTGTGAGAAGAAGCGGCAAGAAACTCAGTAGTAGTCTATTTTCTCCCAACAGTTATAATTTAACATTATAAAATGTATACCGAGAAGTATAGCTTATCATGTCTTTTAGATAATCTTCTTTTAATTATTCATCACCACTAAATTCACCACTGCATTGGAAGAAGTTTTCAAGATACTGGCCCTTGAGTTTTTTGCACGACAACAAGCTCTCTCGTTAGGTCCCAGCATACGTTACAGTGACCAAGTGCTTGCATTACTATCATATATCATACGTGTCACAAACAAGATTGGCTATGCGACTAGAGCTCTCATTATAACATACTTCAAGTCACTAAAGAAGGTTTGTAATTATTTACCATGTATCTAATGTAATATCCCTATACAAAATTCAGCAGTGTACAAAATTGATTGTGTATTTAGCCGCTGTAAGACAGGATCTATAAAAATCTGCGTGAAACAAGATACAGCTGCTTCGCAAAATCGTCGCTCCGTAAAGTCTGCAGATTGTAAACATGCTCCGGAGCACCTCCGCTATAACATCACATTTGGTAGTCAAAATTCTCGGAAATGATTTCTCGGAAAATTCTTAATTTCTATAGACAAGATGATTCGGTGCTACCATATGCATGGTATCTTCCACCACCATCATACAAATTACAGCCCATTCCAAGTCCACTACTGAACATAGGCCTACCCCAAGAAACACCATAAAGCACAGTCCTGAGCCACCTGCATTCATCGACTTCTTGCATCTGCTTTCAGGTCGTCACTCCATCTAGTGAGGGATGGGATATTTAGTGAATGAAATTAAATCCCAGCCCAAGTACACCATTGCACGCTTCAAGATACTTAAAGTTATTCCGGTGTAGAGCCCAAATATTTGTAAGTTTAAGTTGAAGATAGCCGACGTCTATAGCAACATTGGCGCGTTGAATAGAACAGATCTGCACATATTACAAAGCGCCAGAAAATTAAAAATTAACTATTAATAGCGATAAAATCCGTAAAAAGAATTGGTTTCATTCAAAATAATTATGACTTTCCTTGTTTGGAAAAGTTGTACAACTTTTACTAATTAAACATCAAATAAGACCTATTTTCTCGAATTAATAAATTTGACATCTCTTAATTATTAGGGCGTAAGGCAATTTGATTTAAATAGAACTTTGACGTTTTATTACGATAAGACAGTGCGATTTATCATCTATGGCCTCATCACCACTCACTACCAGGTGAGATTGTGGTCAAGTTATAATAAGTACAAAAAATACCAAAAGCAGAACTGAAAAGGCAAAATACCAATAATATGCCATAAGCCAATTGAAATTAAGGGTTATTTTCTCGAATTTCCTAATTAGCATTATTTAATTGTGAAATTAATTACATTAATACAATTCATATATTATTACATTAATACAATCAATACAATTAATAAAATTTAGTGCTCCGCGATTGTAAACTTATAGGACGAAATAACGATGGCGCATAAAGGGGGTTTCGAAGCACTAAACAGAACTCTAAAAAATATCAGAGGGAACGATGACATGATGGGTGGAGTCACCGACTCTGCCGATAGTGCCGAGGGGAACTCGAGCTGACGAAGTTAAGGCTTGCTGTAAGACTTAAATCTTTGGCCCTTAGTCAAAAAACCCTACCTTAGAAAAACATGCGATATAAGATACAAGTGTACTTGAAGGGCGATGTTTGGGCTGGACAATTCTCCGATGTCCTCCTTAAAATAGCAAATGGAGAATATCTGGAAACTGAGGGCAAAATTACAATTCGACCAGATCGTGCCTTAGTTGTGTCGACCGTTGACGACCTAATAACCCGAATATATCCAGATGTCCACAACTTACACAGCAAATCCACAGAGTGGCTATGCGAACGTGCGATTCTCACACCTAAGAGCGATCAGCCTTCCGTCATTAATGACACTTTGTTGAAGTCGTTCGAAGGTGAAGAATATTAGTACAAATCTGTGGACACTGTTGTGCATACGGATGATGCTATACACTATCCTGTGTAGTTCCTAAATACACTCAACCCAACTGGTCTACCGTCTCACACACTTATCCTTAAAGTGGGAGTTCCAATAAT